TCCAACAGAAGGCGTCAGAAATATCTAGTTACTCTTAATTCAGTCTAAACCCTGCTCAGTCTTTGAAATTCAGTCACCCAGCAGACAAGGAATTGGGGGGAATTAAGACAAAGCCTGAGCGTGTCCTGGAAAGTGGTTATACTTTCACTTCCATTTAGGTCAAAGCAAAGGCTGAGATCCCCTTTATTATTGCTGAACAATTTTTTCATAGGTTCCCCAGGCATATTGGCTATAGAGGAAGGTAGTGTCAACCGGGAGAAGTGTTAGGGAAGGATGGAGTGGGGATTGTTGACCCCTCGGTTGATACAGCCCCCGAAAGGAAGCTCATCTGTGTAGTTCTCTCTCTCTCTTGTTTTTTTTTTTTTTTTTTTTTTAACATTTTAAAAATATATTTTTATTGATTTTGTACAGAGAGGAAGGGAGAGAGATAGAGAGCTAGAAACATCTATGAGAGAGAGTCATCGATCAGCTGCCTCTTGCATACTCTCTACTGGGGATATACCCGCAACCAAGGTACATTTCCTTGCCCGGAATCGAACCCGGGACCTCTCAGTCCCCAAGCCGACGCTCTATCCATTGAGCAAAACCGGTTTCAGCTGTGTAGTTCTCTTTGGAATCATTTTGGATCTGTGGATGGCTACCTCTGTAAATCCATGGAAGGAAAGATCCCCAAAGAATTTCCCAAACTGGCCTTTCCTTCAAGGATTCTGCTGTAGTTAAACAAACAAACAAACAAAAACAACAAACAACCCAAAGTAAAAGAAGGCATGAAGGCATGGAGTTAGAGGTGTGGAGAGCAGACAGTAATGAGACAGACAAAAAGTGGCAGGAGAGATAGACCCCTTTTAATGGGGCAGGGGGAAAGAATAACAGGAACGGAATTAAAGGGAGAATCTTAGGGTGGACTTTTTAGAAAGGCTGTGGGTGGAAAAAGAAAATAGGGAAATTGAGGTGTGTGTGGGGAGGCGTGGTCTATGATCTTGGGAAACATAAATTGAAGCGGTTACTTTACCAATAGTTTCATCTGATTCTTTGCGGGTGTCTTGTGCCTGGATTCCAGGAAAAGGCTGCTGCCATTAGACCCCCTTTGCCACCACATCTCCTGCCTTGACGTGCCCTGCTGAGTGCTGTTGGTCAGTGAATCGTGACACCATCTCTTGTTGACCCAGGACAGAATAAGTCTAATTAGAAAATAGCATTATTCCCTGTGTATGAGTTTATCAAATAGTCCACACTCTCAGACTATTCCTTATAAACTTCCAGTCAGGGCACAAGTTTTAACAAAACATTTTTGAATTGTTATGATTGTATTCTTCCTATTAACTTACTTACATGGAAAAATCTACAATTGCATACGTAAATCACATGCCGTTAGATAATTAACTTTGTACTCATAAATTAGCCTGTCTGCTGATACTAGGAAAGAAACATTTTTCTCTTATTCTCTGAAAGCAAACCGGAAGCTCTATACTTGGCATAAACTGACATTTTTTTTTTTTATAAGGGAAGATCATAAAATTTCAAGAACAGGTTCAGAAAATGAACAGAGTTAATAGAAGTTTAAAAACAAACAAACAAACAAACAAACAAAAACACCACACCACACACACAATTGGTTTCATTAATAAAATCGACTTTAGGCAAACTGCCAAAGCTGCCCTATCTAACCATCAAAGTACACCCTCTCTCTCCCCACCACCCCAATATTTAGAAATGAATACTATTTTGCTCTGGTTTGACATTCCTAATCCCTCTCATTGTTCTACACAGTGTTGTTCTACACAGATTCTCCTATTTCCTGCTTTTGTCTGCATCTCTCACAAGGAAAATGTATCTGCCTACTTCTGGAGTCTGTTTATTCTAAAACTGCTTATTGAGTGTCCATTATGTGCTGGGCGCTGTGAAGAGTGGAAAGACATAGGTACAACCTCCCTTCCCCTCAGTAAGCACTCATTCTAGAAAGGACTCAAACAAAGAAAGAACAGCCATTGTGAAGATCCATGTTACAAAGACATGGCAGGGGCCACACAGGGAGATGGCTGGGGATATGACAGCCGAGTTTTGAAGGATAAACTGGATGGGGAAAATATTTCAGAAAGATGGGGCTGCTCCTGCAAAGATAGGGGGAGGGGGCAGGAAGAAATTGTGTTCTGAGAGAGGAAGGGTGAAAGGAAAGGTATGGTGGGCAAGCAGGCAGGCAGGACACCAAGATGTGGAGATAATGCAGGATGCAGACTGGAAGCCAAGACACCGCTAGGAGTCAAGAACTGATGAGGACTGAAGTAAGGTTCTGACTGATGGTTCAGCATCCACCGCAGTAAAACAAGGCTTAGAATTAAGATCCTCCAATTCTTGATCTTTCTCTACATCTCAGTGCGTCTGCTGCTTTTGACTATCTAATCAAATGAATTAGTGGGCCTACCCGGGTGGCTCATTTGGTTGGAGCATCCTCCCACATACCAAAAGGTGGCAGGTTTGATTCCCAGTCAGGGAAAGTACCTAGATTGTGGGTTCAATTCCAGGAGGCAAACCAATTGATGTTTCTCTCCCTTGCTCTTTCTCTCTCTAAATCCATAAAAATTTATCCTTAGGTAAAGATTAAAAAAAAAAAAGCTATGATAGGAAGAAATTGAAATTGTAGATGCCCTTTTTCCATGAAAAGGTAGTTAAATATAGTTGAGTCATATAATACTTGGGAAATCTAGACATGGTTTCTTCATCTATAAATGTGATAATGATCATCGTATCACTGATGTGGTGCCAGTGGGTTGTGAAAGTGACAGTGATAGGGACGAGATATTTCTTAATCTGAACTCAAGGCCTGGATATGATAAAAAGAGCCATGGTGTGGGATCAGAAAAATGAATTCAAGTTCTGGTCCATACACTTACTAGTCATGTATATTGTTTTCCCATGTTTGCTGTAACAAATTACCATAATAAGCAAAGTATTAACAAAGTATTCTCTCAGAGTTCCAGAGGCCAGAATTCTGAAACCAAGAGGTCACAGAGCAATGCCCCCTCAGAAGGCTCTAGAGGAGAACTTTTCCCTGGCTCTCCCAGTGTTGGGTGGCTCCAGGCACTCCTTGGCTTGTGGATGCCTGTTTTTACGTGATCATCTCCTTTATGTTTATGTTTTCTCTTCTGTCTCTCACTAGGATACTCATCGTTGAATTTAGAGCCCACCCAGGTAATTAAAAAGGATCTCATCCCAAGATCCTTAACTTATATTTGCAAAGACTCTTTCACCAAATAAGTCACATGACAGGGTCTTAATATCAGGACATAGATGTAACTTTTTAAGGTGACTGCTTAGCCCACTACACCGTATCACCTTGGGCAAATCACTAACTGTGAATGGGTGAGGGGATTTCAATACCTTCCTTTATCCACCTAAAGTCTGTCATGAGAACTAAAAGAAATAGCACGCACGAAAGACATTTGTAAAGAGTTATGTGAATGTTGGTTATTCTACTGACTTGGCCAGTAGTTTATACAAAGATTTCAATAAGAGATTGATCTCCACTCCAACCTTTTCTCCTTTGAGTCTAAAAATAGTTTTGCTGAAGCACAAGAATTTCAGACCAATCCTTTTCAAAGGGAAGGAGAAACATTTTACAATGTAGACACTAAAGATAAGATGTGTTCAGAGAGAAAGCATTGTCAGTTGTGTGCGTGCACAGACTAAAAGACCAGAAAATGCCTTAGATGTTTTTCTAGAACAAGGCAAAGAATAAAGAAACAAATAAATAAATTTTGTAGGTCAAGCTGATAGAGTAGGTTTTTCCCTGTAAACTCTTTATTATAAACAAAAACAAACAAAAAAAATCAACTTAGTCCTGGCAAGGCAGCTCAGTTGTTTAGAGTGTGGTCCCTATATAACAAGATTGTGAGTTCGATACCGGGTCAGGGCGCATATAAGGGGCAACCAGTGAGTACATAAATAAGTGGGACAACAAATCGATGGTTTTCTCTTTCTCCCTCTTTTCCTCCCTATCTCTCTCTCTAATTAACCAACCAATCAATAATTTTTAAAAACTTAAAAAAATATGTATCGATTGCTCATATTCTCATGCTTATATTTTAAAATTGTTGCCATTTATCACATTTGCTTTATTTTTATATATGTAAATAGATGGAATATTCTGAGCCATTTAAAAGTAGGTCAAAGCATGACATTTCATCTCTGTTTATTTCAGATAGCATCTATAAAAACACTTTCTTCTATATAAGCAAAATGTCATTATCACATTAGAAAAATCAGCAATAATCCTATACAGTAATCTAATAATCTCAATTCTCTAAATATTCTCATTCTCTAATTAACATCCAAATGTGGTTTTGTTTTGTTTTGTTTTTTTTGTGTATGTGGCTGTATTTTTTTTTAAAACCAGTATTCAAGCAAGAGCTATGCAATGCATTTGGTTGTTACATCTTTTTAGACTCTCTTAATATAGAATTGTCCCACCCCCTTTTTCTTTTCCTTGGGGCTGACTTTTTTTTTGAAGAGACCAGTCATCTTATTTGAGTGGGGTGCTAGAGTCCGTGGAAAAATGGAATTCTAGGTAGGGAGATCTGGGGGAGATAATAGATCAACCGAAGGACTTATATACATGCATATAAGTACAACCAATGGACACAAAACTCTGGGGAGGGAGGGCATATATGGGAGGGAGTGGGCAATGGTATATGTACAAAGATAATAATTTAATTAAAAAATGAAAAAACAAAAAAGAAAAATGGAATTCTAGTACTCAGCAGCACTGAAAAGAGCTGTGTCTGTGAACACCAAGGTTCTCCATGTCCCTGCCCCAGCCTTCCTCTGTCAACAGAGCAGGAGAGCATGTCTGCTTATCTTCCAGATGCATCAGAAGGCTCCAGCCTCAGAGAAAGCTTTGTGCTTGCTCCCAGCGAGGGGGCATGGGTAGGCTAGAGGGACCACCACCTGTTGGTGATAGCCCTTCTGTTCTGCTTTGCTTCTTTCATGATCACTATCAGGAAATGTTGGAGCTGGAGGCTGAGCATGACGAGGACCTGCAGAGTAAACAGGATGAGCAAGAAACACATGATGTTCAGCGTGAGGACCCTCAACTGTCCACATCTTGGCAGTTTTCAGAGAACATCCCTAAACTGTAAGCTTTGACGTAAGCAAAAGGAAACATGTAATCATGTTTTGTGGAGGGGAAATATAAATTTAGCAGAGAACTTAGGGAAAGCTTTGGAGATTTAAAATCCATACATGAATTAAACCATGAAGCACTCATGTGCACAAGTAACTACCTACACATTCAGCAAGAATGCAGAATAAAGATATATCTAAGGATATAGGTAGAGCCATATCACTCTCAGATAATTTTCTAGATATGAAAAGTATTCTAATTATCATTAAAATATATTGTTAGACCCCTATAAACCTTTTCCCTATTGTATACCTCCCCCTCCCCTGAGCTACCACCACTATCCTAAAATCAATACTTAATATTCACTCTATATGGGGAAACTAAAAATATATCTATTGTTTTTACTAAATATAAAATAGGCTTTATTTTGTATATTCTTGAAAAGATCTGTTATAATGGGTATCAAATACATTTCCAAACTTCTTTCTTGAGGCCTACCTGCCTCTGGGCCCTATTTTGGTGACAGAAAATGAAAAGGCAGACCAACTTACCCTTTAAAAGAAGAGGGTTTGGACCATGGGAGATGTTTTCCATTGTTTCTACTTTAAAACTGATCATAATCATATTTTTGCAGGAATAAGGAGAACATGTTTTTCCAGCTAAACCACTGGAATACACAAATGGGTCTACAAGTGAAAGAACTCGGAGATGATCACAAGGGCTGGATGAAGAAAATTAACGGTATTATACAAAAAGTATCCCTATCAGAAAGCACAGTGAAGAGGTAATTGTAAAGTGCTGAGGTTGGTCAGAACATGATTAAAATTTTCATAGCTTCAGAAATTTTAGAAACTTGGGGATTAAGGTGGTGAAGTTCTTAGGAAAATCTTTAGGATAAGAATTGTAAAGTCTTATGTTAGAAGTTAATGTCACACCTATCAGAATGGCTATCATCAATCAATCAACAAACAACAGAATTGGGGAGGATTTGGAGAAAAGGTAACCTTCATGTACAATTGGTGGGAATGCAGACTGGGGCAGCTCCTGGGGAAAGCAGTATGGAGTTACCTTAGAAAATTATTGAACTGCTATATGACCCAGCAATTCCACTTCTGGGAATATATCTAAAGAAACTCGAAGCACTAATTCAAAAGAATATTGCACCCCTATGTTAATTGCAGCATTAATTACAATAGCCAGGATTTGGAAGCAGCCTAAGTGCCCATCATTAGACTAGTGGATAAAAAAGCTGTGGAATACTCCTTAGCTGTAAAAGAGAAATCTTAACTTTTGCAACAGCATGGATGAACCTGGAGAGTATTATGCTAAGTGAAATAAACCAGTCCAAGGAAGACAAGTACCATTTTTCACTTATATGTGGAATCTAATGAACAAAACAAACTGAGGAACAAAATAAAAACAGACTCAGAGATACAGAGAGCAGACTGACAGCTGTCAGAGGGAAGATGGACTGGATGAAAATGGTGAAGGGATTATGAAAAGAAGAAAAAAGGAAAGGAAAATAAAAAATAAAAATAAAAAAAAACAACAACTCCCTGGCCATAAAGTTCAGTTGGCTGGATCTGAACCCTGGTGAAGGCATGTACAGAAGGCAACTGATAAATGTTTCTCTCTCACATCACTCTCTCTCTTTCTCCCTATCTCTCCCTTCCTCTCTCTCTCTCTCTCTCTCTCTCTCTCTCTCTCTCTCTCTCTCTCTCTCTCTCTCTAAATATATATTGGGTAAGAATTAAATATATATATTTAATCCTCCTTGGGTAAGGATTAAAAAATTGCAAAAATATCCTCCAAACCTCATAGACACAGGCAAAAGTATGGTGATTATCTGAGGAAATTGGAGTGGGGGAGGTAGTAGAGGGAAAAAAGAGGATAAATGGTGATGGAAGGAGACTTGACTTGGCGTGGGGAATGCACAATAAAATATACAGATGATGTGTTATAGAATTGTACACCTGAAACCTATATAATTTTATTAACCAACTAGAGGCCCAGGAAATTTTCTTATATTCCTAATAGACTGATATTTTTTAACAGCAGAATAATCTGATTTTTTCAATTCTATGAATGATCACTTTGTATTTGTTTGTACTAGTAGTCTCTTAACATGGTGAATTATAATGACTAATTTTTGAATGCTGAACCAGCCTTGAATTCCCAGAATAAAGTTCACTTGGTCATAATATGTTATCCTTTTTATATATTATTGGATTCACTTCACTAAAATGAAATTTTTTTAAGTATGTTAATGAGAGAGATTGGTCCATGCTTTTCTTGTAATGTGTAGTGTTAGTAGAAGAAGAATACCTGCCTCATAAGAAAAAAAATTGGATGTTTTCCTACCTGTTTGTGTGAAACTGTCATAGTTTATTCCTTATATGTTTAGTTGAATTCACCAGGAAGTCATATTTCCTTGGTATTTCATTGTGGTAAGATTTTTTTTAACTCCTTTATTTTACTTCTTTATAGCTACAACCATTCATTCTCCCTCACACATCCCTAACTCCTGCCAACAACAAATCTGTTTTCTATAATTATGTTATTTCATGAACATTACATAAATCAAATCATGTATCCCTTTGAGATTAGTTTTTTCCCACTTGGCACAATTCCTTTGAGGTTCACCCACGTTGTTGCATATATCAATAGTTCCTTCCTTTCCATTTCTGAATAAGTAGTCTGTGGTATGGATATATATATTTTGTTTAATCATTCACCCCCCAAAAGTTAATTGCACATTTTCTAGTTTGGGGCTATTAGGAAAAAAGCTACTTGAAACATTCATGCACAACTTCCTGCATGAAAATAAATCTTAATTTCTCAGTTGTCCCAGAGTGAAATCAATGGGTCATAGGGTAAATCTGTTTTTAGTTTCATTTTGACAGAAACTGCCAAACTATTTCCCAGAGTGTTCGTACCATTTTACATTCCCATCACCAATGTATGAGTGATCCAAATTCTCCATACCCATTTGGTGTTATCACTATTTTCTATCTTAGCTATCTGATAAGTTACATGTGTAGTAATATCTCACTGTAGTTTTAAATTTGGAAATTTTTTATGCCTAATGTTTTAAAAAACCTTTCATGTGTTTTTTGTTTTTTTTTGCCATCTATATACTTTCTTGGTGAAATTTCTGTGCATGTCTTTTGTTCATTTTCTAATTGGAGAATATATATATATATGTATATTATTTCAAAGAGGAGAGATAGAAACATTATCATGAGAGAGAGTCATTGATCAGCTGTTTCCTGCACACCCCATATTGGGAATTGAGTCTGAAACCAGGCATGTGTCCTGATGGGGAATTGAACCAGGAGGTCCTGGTTCATAGGTTGACGCTCAAACACTGAACCCCCTGGCCTGGGCTGAGAGTTTGTTTTTTAATGTTTTTTAATGTTTTCACATACCATAAATATAAGACCTTTGCCAGATATGAGACATGCAATCCATTTAACAGTAACTGGCTACTCAAAAGTTTTAAACTTGTAATGAGGTCCAGTTTATCAATGTTCCCTCTTATGGTAGTGTTATTGGAGTTAAGTCTAAGATCTCTTTGCCTAATCCTAGGTCCCAAAGATTTTTCATGTTTTTTTTTCTAGAAATTTAACTAAGCTTCCATTTTAATAATTTTAATTTTATTCTCCTGTGTCTAGTTAGGTCTTAACCTTTTTAAAAATATATATATATTTTAAATATATTTTATTGATTTTTTTACAGAGAGGAAGGGAGAGGAATAGAGAGTTAGAAACATCAATGAGAGAGTCATCAATCAGCTGCCTCTTGCACGTCCCCTACTGGGGATGTGCCCGCAACCAAGATACATGCCCTTGACCAGAATTGAACCCAGGACCCTTCAGTCCACAAGCTAAGGCTCTATCCACTGAGCCAAACCGGTTTCGGCAACGTTTCTTTTTTAAAATATATTTTTATTGATTTCAGAGAGGAAGGGAGAGGGAGAGATAGAAACATCAGTGGTGAGAGAGAATTAATAATCTGCTGCCTTCTACATGCCCCCACATCGGGGAGTGAACCCACAACCTGGGAATCAACCATGACCTCTTTGTTTATAGGTTGCCACTCAGCCACTGACTGAGCCACACCAGCTGGGCATGTCTTCCACTTCTTTACTATTATCTAAATTAATTAGAGTGTTTTTTATTTTTTATTTTGAATTGCATTTATGTCTCCCAATTCCAACACAAGCACTTTTCCAAGAGTCTTCTGTTATAGGAATAGAATTTAATTTTTTGAAAAAGATTAAAATTGATCTTTCTACAAAGATTAAAAAAAGATTAGGAGGTTTTTCTTAATCCACAGACTTAGCCCATCTCTTGGTCTGTTTGCAGCTTATTAAGTGAGGTGATGTCCTTGGAGGGCCAAGTTGAAAAGCTGGAGTCACACCAGAGCCTTGACCCTGACAAGGGGGAAAACATCAAGGTAAACTGGAGGCTTGGGAAGGACTCTGCCCTCCCTGGTATTATTTAACAGGTCATAACAAGAATTAAAACCCATCTTCCGTCACAAGAAGGAATGCTATCTGGTGGTCAGTTCTGAGCACCTTTCACCTGGCTACACTTCTATTCTCTGATGTATGAAAAAGGCTAGATTTTAAAAATTATATCTAGAAAACCAGTCAGACAAATAAGATACGGTTATATCTTGCTATCTTAAGATAACGATGAGTACCTTATGGGAAAACTCTTCTTCATTTTTTATCCCAGCACCTAACAGTACAGAGAAGACAGGAAATAGTATTTGTGAAGAGCTGCATCCTTAGAGTGTAAGGGACAAGGGTGCATCTGTCTTTGTTTCCTTCATGAAGAGTGTTCTATGTTGGTTTTCACTATCTCTAAGTTTTCCTGTTGTTTTTGTCTCCTTATGTTACTTAGAGAGAGGTTTCATTTTCCCTTTTATAATGAGTCATAAAATATTGCAAGGAAGGTAGTGATCAACTCTTGAAAATAATTAAGACTTCAGAGCCCTGACTGATAACTTTTTCTGCTCTACTAACCTTCAGGCCTTTGAAGAAAAGTCTCTAAAAAAAGAAAAAGACTTTGTCTAGCTTTCCCCCTATTTTTTTTCCTTAATTTTTATTGTTTATATTAATACAAATGTCCCTTCCCCCCCTTCCCACTCCACACTCTGCCCTTTCCCCACCCCCCATTGTCCTCATCCATAGGTGCACAGTTTATGTTCAGTCTCTTCCCACATCCCTCTCTCCCCTTTTCCCCAAGAATCATCAGTTCACTCCCCTTCCATACCTCTGATTCTATTATATTCAACAGTTAATATTGTTCCTCAGATTTTTTTTTAATTTCCTTGGTTTTTAGATTCACTTGTTGATAGTTACGTATTTGTTGTTCATAATTTTTATCTTTATTTACTTTCTCTTCTGAAAGAACCCCCTTCAGCAATTCATATAATTCTGGTTTGGTGGTGATGAACTCCTTTAGCTTTTTTTTATTAGTGAAGCTCTTTATCTGACCTTCGAATCTGAGTGATAGCTTTGCTGGATAGATTATCTTTGGCTGTAGGTTCTTACTATTCATCACCTTGAATATTTCTTGCCATTCCCGTCTGGCCTGCATGGTTTCTGTTGAGAAGTCAGCTGACAATCGTATAGGTGCTCCTTTATAGGTAACTACCTGCCTAGCTCTTGCTGCTTTTAATATTCTCTCTTTGTCTTTTGCTCTTGGAATCTTAATTATGATTTGTCTTGGTGTGGTCCTCTTTGGATTCCTTTTATTTGGAGTTCTGTGTGCTTCCTGGACTTGTAAGTCCAATTCTTTCCCCAGGTGGGGGAAGTTTTCTGTCACTATTTCTTTCAATATGTTTTCGATATCTTGCTCTCTCTCATCTTCTGGGACCCCCATAATTCTGATGTTGGTTCGTTTGAAGTTGTCCCAGAGGTTTCTTACATCATCTTCAATTTTCTGGATTCTCTTGCCTTCTAGCGACTGCAGAGGAGTATCTTCTGGCTCTTTATGTTCCAAATCTTTGACTTGATTCTCAATTTTCTGGATTCTCTTGCCTTCTAGCTTCTGCGGAGGAGTATCTTCTGGCTCTTTATGTTCCAAATCTTTGACTTGATTCTTGCGATCTTCTATTCTGTTTTTAGGACTCTGTATAATAGTTTTTATTTCAGACAATGTATTCTTTATTTCTTGTTGATCCCTTTTCATATCCTCATAAGTCTCATTTATTTTATCGGTCTTTTCTAGGAAACTCTTGAAAAACCTTATAAGTGTGGTTTTGAACTCTATATCCAGTCGCTTTTTGTCCTCCATTTCTTTCGTTTGTGATCTATTTGGTTTAGGCATTTTCGCAGGCAGCTTTCCTGATGGGGCGGGATTTCAGGGTGGAGCCTACAGCTTTGGCTTTCGTCAGCCCCGCCCTATGCGACTCCTGAGACTCAGGGTCCTTCAGTACTTGTTGTAAGCGCCTCTGAGAGAAAGGCGCCCTCGATCGCCTGCTACCAAACAGTCTAGTCTCTCCCACAATGGGCCCGAAACTGGGGTTCAGTTCAGTTGGAAGTGGAGTTGGAGGTGGTGTTCAGAGCAGTCTGGAGCCCCTGTCTCCTTCCCGCCAGGCAATCCCGCGGCACAGCCAACCGTCCCTTCTCTGCGAGGCGCCGCTGGGACCTCCTTTCGCCTCTTCCCCGGGGTTCCACCTTTCAGCCCAGCTCCCTCTGTGTGAGCCTGGGTCCCCGGGGTCTGGCCTAGGCCTGGGGTTCAGAGCAGTCAGAATGGGGGCCAGCACAGTCGGAGTTTTATCTCCTTCCCGCTAGGGAACGCCAGCCAGGCACTCCGCCGCCCTCCTCTCCGGCTCTGTCCTCTCCACGCACCGTGCGTCTCCGTACCTTAGGCTTTTCCAGCTCCTCCGCACTTCCTTCTGGTTTTCTCCTTGCTTCTTGTTGTAGAATTTCCAGTCAGTCAACTTTCCTGTAGTTCTGGGTGATGTCCATTTTATATCTTAGTTGTATTTTGTTGAAATTGTTGCGTGCGGCGCGGCTAGGTGCCTACCCGAGCAGCCATCTTGGATTCTCTCTCCCCCTATTTTTTTAATTGAAATTGCCAGCCCCAGCTTTAGCTTAAGCCAGAGAGTTTAAATTAAGTGGATTTTGGAAGAAGTAAAGGAGAAATAGCTCTTTTATTGTAAGAAGGTAATGTAATTTAAACCCTCACATATGAAAAGCCATCTACAGATTAGCACAGATTTATTACCAAGGAAAAAATTACTTTTAACTGTGACTCGGTCCAACATTTTAAAGTAGCAACCTCATTTTGTGCTAGTTGAAAAGTCAAGCATTTTTTTTTTTCACTGTCCTTGGGTTTTAGAAATTGCAAACTATGAAAAGAGGGAAAAGGACAAAGGCCAAGAACTTTTTTGCCTTAAAAAATTCTTTCAAGAGTCAGCTGTCCTACAGGAATGTGGATTTCAGCAGGAGTTAGAGTTAGAGAGGGAAATATATCAAAGGAACAAGGAGGAAGATAGACAAGCACAAAAATAAATGAAAGTGAGATTTAAAAACAAAAAACAAATAAGAGCTTGGGATACTTTGAAAAGGAAAGACATCAAAAACATGTATGAAGATTCTGTCTGGAGTTACACAGCTGTGTATACACTTAAAAAATATAGACTCAAACATAAAAATTAAAAACAGCCCAAATATCCCCCAAGTGGTGTGTGGATAAATCATAACACATGTTATAAAATGGAATACTACTAAGCAATAAAAAGGAATGGCCTTCTTATTCATTCAACCACATAAATGGATCTCAAGTGCATTATACTAAGTGAAAAAAGCCATTTGCGTAATACTGAAAAGGGCAAAAAAAGGAACAAAAAATAGATTAGTGATTGCTGGAGTCAAGTGGGTAAAGGGAATAGATGGGAAAAAGGGCACAGGAAATTTGGGGTGTGATGGACATATTCCAGACCTTGTTGTGGTGGTGATTATGTAACTCTGTGCATTGGTCAAAATTCATAGAATTACACACTTTTTTAAAAGGTGAGTTTTATTGTATATAAATTATAACCTTAATAAACATGACTTTTAAAAAATTGACACAGGTTCTGTCCTCAATAAGTCTAATGGTTGATGGGAAAGCCTGTGTAAAAACAAATGCAGAGGTTTAATGAGTAAGAAACTTTAAAAATAATTGTTACAGATGCAAAGTCAGTAGGAATGGTAATGAAGGGGAAAGTGAGCATTGTTAGAAATAGATATGGGAACAGCAAACAAAGTTTGGGAAAATTAAAAGAGATATAAGTTAATGAAGTTTTAAATATCACATGAATTGGCTCATTTACTTCTCATGAAGAAATGCAATGACTCAGCAAGCCATGAAAGAGGAGAAGGGAAATTTGGTAAAAGCATTTAAATACACACACACACACACACACACACACACCCCAAATGGAAAAGACCTTTAAACCAAGAATAGTTAAAATCTACCTTTGAGGTAGATTTGGGGTATTGCCTCCTTTTGAGTCCCTAAGTCCACATATTTTCTGAAATCTCCATGAGAATATCTAGACTTTCATCCTAAGACTTACTCCCATCTCAGTTATCTTTGATAGTACTGTATAAATATATTTTCTATATAAACAAACCAGGGCACCAAGTAAAATATGATGATTATATCACAGCTATTTTCTAAATAATTAAATGCCACAGTTCAAGGTAGGTAATGAAAAAACTTGGTAAAGAGGGGTGTAGACTATACATTCTCTATAGCTGTTTGAGAGCAAATACTCTTTACTGATATCCAATCAGCACAGTGCCTAGCTCAGTAGTCTCTTACGTAGGATATGGCCAATAATATCTTGATTTAATTTAATATTGACTTTGGATATCAACACCTAGAATAATAAGGGGGGGAAATGGCTTCTATTAAACCTCAAACTTTTGATCATGAATTAGCTTTCTTCTGAAAAATTATAACTTGTTTTGTTTCAGTTCCATACATCATTCTTTATAACTTTTGTTTTATACCCTTTGTTTTAAAGGAGAAGATTGTGGAAATTAAAAAGCAACTAGGAGAAATGGATAACAAATTTGTCCAGGTAATAATAAAAATGGCTTTATAATTTATTTCTTCAAAAAAATCTCAGATTTAGAGAATTTTAGTGATGGAATCTAAAATTTGATGAAAAATAGAATTTTAAATCTAGAAGGGAACTTAGGGTCACATAATCTATGCCCTCATTTTCAGAAGAGAAAAGCATGGCTCAGAAATATGAAGTTATATGCCCATATTTCCAGATGAAAAGAATCAGTCTTGTTCTTGCTCTCCCATGAATAAATATATGTATATATTTATATGTATGTGTATATCTTGAATATATGTATATATTCTGAATATATATTAATTTTAATATGTATATGTATTTATATATCTAAATATATAAACATATTTAATATATTTAAATGTATATATTTTTCTCTTAACAAAAGTAATACATGCTTACTTTAATAAGTAAAACATTATAGAACTTTTTGATATTAAAAAAAATAATCCTACTCACTCAATAATAAACATAGTGAACATTATTTTTTTAATCTCACCTGAGGACATATTCCATCAATTTGAGAGAGAGAGAGGGTTGGGGAGAAAGAGAGAGAGAGAGAGAGAGAGAGAGAGAGAGAGAGAGAGAGAGAGAGAGAGAAACATCTATTGGCTGCTTCCAATATGTGCCCTGACACCTGCATCCCAGGTATATACCCTAACCAGGAATTGAAACTGCAATCTTTTGGTGTACAGAATGACATTCCAACTAACTGAGCCACATGGCTAGGGCACAGTGAGCATTCCTGTATATTTATATTCTATCAAATCTTTTTATACATATTGTTATTTTAATGGAATTATATTGCATATATAGTTTTTTGCTACTTGCTATTTTCACTTTGCATTTTTTGTTATATATATTTATTGTTATTATTTTCTTTTTTGGTTAATTCTCACCCAAGAATATTTGTTTGTTGATTTTTAGAGACAGTGGAAGGGAGGGGAAGAGACACACTGAGAAACATCGATATGAGAGGGAGACATTGATTGGTTGCCTCCCGCCCATGCCCCAACCAGGGAAGGGAATGAAGCTTGCAACAGAGATAGGTGCCCTTGACTGGAATCAAATCCGAGACCCTTCAGTCCTCAGGCCAAAACCCTGTCTACCAAGCCAAACAGCTAAGGCTCACTTAGAATGTTTTTTTCTTTAAAAAACATTCTAAGTCACTAGATGTCATTTTACCTTTCTGCTGTTTCTGCAATGCAGGATTTGATTTTTAGACATATTACATTTATTTTATTGTATATTTGGGGCTTTATAATCCATGTTTGCCATTACAAACGATGCCTCAGAAACCCATATCTTTGCTTGTTTTGGCAAGGGCTCCTTTAATAATCAATTTCTATTTTTAAATAAATAAATAAATAAATAAATAAAATTTAAGATTGAATTTATTGGGGTGACATTGGTGTACAATTCCATTATATATCATCTGCATATTGTATTGTGCGTTTACCACCCCAGCTCAATAAATTTCTAGAAATGGCACCTCTATCTAGAACCCATCTTTTTTTGTTGTTGTTGTTGTTGCTTTTAAAAAAAATATATATTTTATTGATTTTTTTTGCCCCCCTCCCTCCCTCTCACACATCCCCTCCCTCCCCAGAGTTTTATGTCCATTGGTTGTACTTATGTGCATGTATAAAAGTCCTTCGGTTGACCTATTATCTCCCCCAGATCTTCCTCCCCTCCCCCCTGTAATTTGACAGTCGGCTTGTTGATATACTGTCTCTATATCTATCTTCTGGTTCATCAGTTTATAATGTAGAACCCATCTTTCTTGAATCCCAGAGGACTGTTCTTCCTGCTACAGCCCTGCTCTTCAAGTCATGCTGCAAATCTGTTGTGGGACGATTATTTAAAACCTTTAAAATGTTTGCCTCCTGACGTAGGTGCAGTAGGCCTTTATGTCTTAGATGGTTTGCTTTCAGCTTGTGTCTTGATCTTAACGCTAGAAACCAACCAAACCCGTCGGTTACCTCTACCCGGCAGCCTCTAGGAGACATGGGAAGGAAAGAGGAAACACAGCTTTCATGGATGGTTTTTTTTGCTAAAACCATAAGGCCCAAATAGTCAAACTAACATAATGAGGATTTGATATTTATATATTATAAATTTTTAAAAGATACATAATTTTATTTTTTTTTCTTCATAATTACACTCTGTTTCTCTAACTGGTGGCCTGGTGGATGGAAGAAAAAAAAAGATGATTTATTTTAAGCAGTTGTTAATAAAAATTTGCACTTCTAAAGCATTGAAAATAATTGTATGAATCTTTTGGTTATTCCTCCTGCAATTTATCATCATCACACTATGAATTTGCTCCAGGGAGCAAGGATTTTACTTGAGTAAAAGTAATTTTTGTTAAAGCTACTTTACAATTAAGTGGCATCAAAGATGAGTAAGACATTATTGTATAAACCAGAAATATATGATTTATATTTTATCCCAAATGGTGGGTGTCTTTTCAGGTTGATGCTTGTAATGAAGCTCATGAATTAAAGGAGAAACTCGTTGCAAAAATAGAGGTAAGATTTCACTGTCACATGAGTTCAAATAGTAAGATAAAATGAACTAAATATAAATAGAGAGGCAATCTTTTCCCTAGAATTGGAGAGGGTACCACATACTGATCTCTTTCTACCCTTATTGCTGTCTTCTTCCCCCTCCTGGCCTTCTGCTTTGGGCCAACAGAACATGTCACACCTCTGGGCTGCTTCACGTCTCCTCCATCTGGAGCTTACCCTCTATGCACTGTACATATTACCCTCTCTTCAAGGCCCAGCTCATATGTCATCTCTTTCAGACATTCCCTTATCTTCCTTACCAAGAAAAATGAAACAGTGAATAAATGAACAACCTGTCACACGCTCAGAGGTGCCTGGTGATCCCACTTTCTAGAGTAGATGCCCACCACGAAACCTCAGCTACTTGGTCTCAGCACCTTGTTTATTTTGTCTTTGGCGAGTATCTTAATCTATAATATCTGATGTGTATATGTGTTTAACATGTAATTCTTTGTCTAGTTTTCTTTTAAAAGCCTACATGCAATACAATGCACATCCCTTGTCTATTTTGTTAGCCAATGCATCCTAGAACAGTGCCTGTTAGGAATCAATAAATAAAAAAATGTCCTAACATAGATGAACAAATTGAATAGATAAATTCAGTACAAGAATAATTATCTTTCTATGTGAATAGCCCAGCAAAGACCAACATGTGGCTTTTGTTTCATGTTATACAATGGTGCTAACTTACTCTGTGAGTGTCTTTTTCTAATAGGTGAGAATATCTGCCAGTGACCGCCTCAGATGACTCACTGTGGGCCCTGAGGTGTGCTGGGGGAAAAGTTCTCTGCATCATCCACAATAAGACTGGCAGATATGTGGAATCATTTTTAAATATACGCTTATTGATTCCAGAGAGGAAAGGAGAGGGAAAGAGAGATAGAAACATCAATGATGAAAGAGAATCATTAATTGGCCTGCACTGGAGATTGAGCTGCAACCTGGGCAAGTGCCTTGACCAGAATTGAACAGTGACTTCCTGTTGCTCAACCACTGACTGAGCCACACCGGCCGGGTTGGAATCATTTTTTAAAAAATGATAATTGATTGTTCTTCTTTCCAGAACTTCTGCAAGGACATGACTGTGATGAATAAAAGACTGGGGATGTATCCATTGAAAGAAGAGCACATGGACTCTCAGAATCCTGAGGAAACGGGTGGGGAAGAAATAGAGCAGCTGCTTCTTCATGCTCTCCCGACCCCTTCAGTGCAAAACTCCCCTCCTCGCTGTACTTTGTGGTGAGTCAGAGAAAGGAGCTGTGGGGGCTGGACAGGCCCTTGTGTTTGAACAATAGTAAGATTAAGCCTCAAGTGTTACTTAAATATTTGTTTCATCTCCTTTTACAAATTACTTCTGTTCTTTAAAAGTCATAGTATTTTGATTTTGATTTTTAGATATAGATTAATTGCATTCGATACACACACACACACACACACACACACACACACACACACATTTCTTCCTTATTGCTTTAGGTAACTATATGTATAAAATCTTAAAGGGTGGTGTCTGAAGAGTGTGATGCAGCCTCCTCCACCAGAGCAGCATAACTGATAAGCAGATTTGCTGCACAGGATGCCTCTCCCTTGTACAGTATGGAAGACACATAGTAGCAAATTCTGACTCTGAACTTCTTCCTAGAGATTCCACACCATCACATATACCCTGAGTATGAGCATATATACTTTTAAATACATATATGATGAACATTTTTATATTTCAAGTCCCCAAATGATCAAGATTTCTGCCTTTAGTAGCCCATGGAGTATTAGGAGACAGATTTAAAATAATTTAATTGCAATAATATGCTGTGGGTCCTATGTCAGGATTATGTGCAAGGTATGGTGCACACAAAAGAGGGAGCTGAAGATTCTCCTGGTTTTGTGGTTGGGGATAAAGAATCAAAAGTAGAGCCGAGACCAGTTTGGCTGGCTTGGGGACTGAAGGGACCCGGGTTCGATTCCGGTCAAGGGCATGTACCTTGGTTGCGGGCATATCCCCAGTAGGGGGTGTGCAGGAGGCAGCTGATCGATGACTCTCTCTCATCGATGTTTCTAACTCTCTATCTCTCTCCCTTCCTCTCTGTACAAAATCAATAAAATATATTTTTTAAAAAAAAGAATCAAAAGTAGAGCCCGGCCAGTGTGGTTCAGTGGTTAAGCATCTACCTAAGAACCAGGAGGTCATGGTTCAATTCCTGGTCAGGGCATATGATGGGGTTGTGGGCTCAATCTCCAGTGTGGGGCGTGCAAGAGAAAGCTGATCAGTGATTCTCTCTCATCATTAATGTCTCTCTCTCTCTCTCTCTCTCTCTCTCTCTCTCTCTCTCTCTCTCCCTTACTCTCTGAAATCAATAAAAATGTCTTTTAAAAAATAGACACAGGCCCCGGGCAGCTGCTAGACATTCACCATGTTCAACAAAAATTAGTTAAGTGAGGAATAATGCCAATGAAAACGGTGGACCTCCAAAATTTCATCCTCTATATAGTCAATAAGAGAGCTGGAAAAATGGTCAGAAACAAATTTTTCACAATCCTATAAATTAAGGATCCCAGTATTCAGAATACATTAAGAACTCTTACAATCCAAAAACAAAGACTAACAACCCAATTTCCTAAATGAGCAAAGGAGTTTCTTTTGAAGACATTTCTTCAAAGAAAATATACTAATGGCCAACAAGCACACAAAAAGATGTTCAACATCATTGGTCATTAGGGAAATGCAGATCAAAATTATGAGATACCTCTTTATACCAGTAAGTTAAGTATAGTTAAAAAGATAGACAATAGCAAGCATGTGCAGAATTTAAAACCCTCAGGAATTACCTAGTGGGATTGTAAAATGGTGCAGTCACTTTGCAAACAACTTGGCAGTTCCTAAAAATGTTAATGCAGCTACCATATGACCCATACCTAGATATGCAGCCAAAAGAACTGAATATATGCTCACAAAACACCTGTACATGAATGTTCACAGCAGCATTTTCATAAGAGTTAACAAGTAGAAACAATACAAATATCCAGCAATTGATGAATAGGCAAAGTGTGTGTGTGTGTGTGTGTGTGTGTGTGTGTATGTTTTCAGCCACAAAAAAGAATAAACTATGATATATGCTATGTCATAGATGACCCTTGAAAATGTTATGCTAAGTGAAAGAAGCCAGACACAAAAGGATACACACTACATGATTCCATTCATATGAAATGTTCAAAATAGGAAAATCCATATAAATAGAACATAGATTAATGGTTGGCAGGCCTGAGGTTAATGGGAAATAGAAAGCAATTATTGCCAAAGCTGGTTTGGCTCAGTGGTAGAGCGTCGGTCTGAGGACTGAAAGGTCCCAGGTTCGATTCCAGGCAAGGGCATGTACATTGGTTGCGGGCACATCCCTGATGGGGGGTGTGCAGGAGGCAGCTGGTTGATGTTTCTCTCTCATCGACATTTCTGGCTCTCTCTCTCCCTTCCTCTCTGTGAAAAATCAATAAAATATATTTTAAAAAGAAAAGAAAAAAAAAAAGAAAGAAAGCAACTATTCGTGGGTATAGGTTTTCTTTATGGGGTGATGATAACATCCTGAAATTAAATAGTGATGATGGTTGAACAAGCTTATGAATAAACTAAAAGCCATGGAATTGTTCTGTTTAATATGTGAAGTAGAAGCAATTATTTGTAGAACTACCAAGAGATAGCCAGTGGTGATAATGCCAAGAAACTTGACTCAGATTTACAGAATCTACTTGAGTGAGGTCACAAAATAGACCCATAGTTAGCTTGAACTGCATGCTAGAGTTTCTCTTCTGAAATGTATTAGAGATGGATATTACCTTCAGGTAACTGGCTTATCTGTGACATGTCTTTTCTTTTTGATTTTTCAGATCTTCTACCTTAATCGTGTATTGCATTTATAACCTATCTATAAAAGCCTTAGCAACTATTATGACCAAACGACTTGAATGACCAGTCAACCAGTCACTATGATGTGCACTGACCACTAGGGGGCAGACTCTCAATACAGGAGCTGCCCTGTGGTGGTCAGTGCACTCCCACAGCCAACCTCCCATGGCCCCTCCCCTTGGCCAACTGGCCAACTTCCTATGATCCCTCTCCTGGGCCCTGATCGGGACAGTGGGAGGGATGGGGAGGGCTGGCAGGCCAATCTTCCACAGCCCCTTCCCCTGGCCAGCCAGCCATTCTTCTGTGGTCCTTTTCCCCTGCCAGCCAGCCCCCCAATAGGCCTCAATCGCCAGCCAAGCCAAGGGACCCTACCAGTGCATGAATTCGTGCACCAAGCCTCTAGTTAGAAAATAATAATGCAAGAAATTAAAAACAAAGAAATAAACTACATTATAATTACAGCCCAGGAGGAGGAGTCCTCAGACTTGGAAAAGCTTCTATTACTTTGTAAGGGTGATTCTGATGCCGGGACAAAAATGGTAACAGAGAGGGCTGAGTTCCATTTGTCACATTGTATTTTGTGTCCTGAGGAAAACCTAATTCCCCTATGCCTCTATTTTCTCCCAAATAGGCATCATATAAACCTCATAAATGAGGTAAAGATGGCAATCATCTGTGAGAAGACCATTTCAAAGGAAAGAGCCCCACAATATCGAGGGTTTCATTATTTCACAACTACAGAATGTTAGAATTCCAGTATCAGTTCCTAAAATGAACTTAAGTGCTCAACTATTTTGCAGATGTCACCTGAGGTCAAGAGAAGTTCAGTTACTCACATGAAATTATAGGGCTCCCTGGGTGGAGGAGCCAGGAGTCACGGCAGTGTGGTTTTCTTCAGAATGTTCTTAACACATGTTTTCTTTCCTTATAGGAAACGTGCACTGAGGATTTTCATCATATTTTATGCCCTCACCTTCACTGTACTTTCATGTTACATATTGTTTTTTGACGCCACGTTTATCTTTGAAAAGATGCTCCCTACAATGCTTGGGCGCCGCAGAACATGGGAACTGCGGAAGATTATTGTGCCTTTCTTAAATCTGGAAGTGGAAGACTTGTTGCCCTCCTAAAGACACAGAAGTTGCTGTTACACTACTGACTTCCTCCCCAATAAAATTCTGGCTGTTCTTGTATTATGGTGGTTAACTTACTTTAAAAAAAAAAATACTATAGGGTGTTGGCAAAGGACATTGTAGTCATGTAGCAATTGGTTGATCACAGACAGAAAAAAAGTGAAAGCAGTTTATCTCTACCCTTAAATGCACAATGATTCCTCAAATCATGCCACACATTGATTAAAACATTTACTTCAAACCACTAATCTCTCTCATCTTCCAACAGTGAGGACACGGAGGCTATCCAGTATTAGCTTCCTCTGGAAAACAAATAATTACTTCTGCTACACACATTTATTAAAGAGAACAATTCCATGGTTTTTAGGTATTTCACCCATTTGACCTCTGATGTCTCAGAAAAGAAAGCACAGAATTCCTCTCTATTGTTTCCGATTTTACTTAAGTTGGGTTGGAGCCATACTTCAGGTGTATGGACATTATTTAGTTTTGCCCCTTAACATTCATTTATGGTTTTGGTAATGGCACCCTAATTTTGCTTTTAAAGAAGTATCTTTCCCCAGTGAACATAATTCTAGTTGGTCCCCCATTGCCCTATTAAGAAGAGCTGGAAATATGTTCAATCAGACAATCTCTAAGACTGAGAATCTTGAGAATCATACAAAGAAGGGAAATGATTGGAACTTGAATTTGCTGAACTAGTCCATACCGTTTTCTGCTTAAGCTAGCCAGAGTTGGTTTTGTTGCTTATAATCAAAGGAAGTTTAGTTGATGCAGTAAGTTTTGAATGTAAGACTGGAGTATTTTTAGTCCCAATGTTGTAGGTAATGAGGAAATAGTAACCTTTATTTTCTTTTTCTTTTTTTTTTCTTTCTTTCCTTTGGTAGCAATTTATTTATTTATTTATTTATTTATTTATTTATTTATTTATTTATTTATTTATTGTTTAAAGTATTGCATATAGTAGTACATATATGTACTCATTCAATTTCTCCCAGCTTCCCCTACCCCCTGTCACATGCCCTCATCCCACCCCTCCAGTGTCTTGTGTGCTTATATGCATGCATACAAGTCCTTTGATTGATCTCTCCCCCCCCCCACAACACTCCCCTGCCTTTCCACTGTAATTTGACAGTGTTTTTGGTGCTTTATTGCCTCTATATCTATCTTTTTGTTCATCAAGTTATAATGTTCTTTATTTTCCATAAATGAGTGAGATCATGTGGTATTTTTCTTTCATTGCCTGGCTTATTTCACTGAACATAATGCTTTCCAGGTCCATCCATGCTGCTGCAAATGGTAAAAGTTCCTTCTTTTTTATAGTGTGTATTCCATTGTATAGATGTACTATAGTTTTCTAATCCATTCATCTGCTGATGGGCATTTAGGCTGTTTCCAAATCTTAACTATGGTGAATTGTGCTGCTATGAACATAGGGGTGCATATATTCTTTCTGACTGGTGTTTCTAGTTTCTTGAATTATATTCCTAGAAGTGGGATTACTGGGTCAAATGGCAGTTCCATTTTTAGTTTGTTTGTTTTTTTAAATATACTTTATTGATTTTTTACAGAGAAGAAGAGAGAGGGATAGAGTCAGAAACATCGACTAGCTGCCTCTTGCACTCCCCCCACAGGAGATGCGCCCGCAACCAAGGTACATGCCCTTGACCAGAATTGAACCTGGGACCTTTCAGTCCGCAAACTGACGCTCTATCCACTGAGCCAAACCGGTTTCGGCCATTTTTAGTTTTTTTTGAGGAAACTCCATATCGTTTTCCACAGTGGCTGCACCAGTCTGCATTCCCACTAGCAGTGCACAAGGGTTCCTTTTTCTTCACATCCTTGCCAGCACTTGTTGTTTGTTGATTTGTTGATGATTGCCATTCTGATAGGTGTGAGATGGTACTGCATTGTTGTTTTGATTTGCATCTCTCAGATAATTAGTGATTTTAAGCATGTTTTCATATGACTTTTGGTCTTCCTTCTGTCTTCTTTGGAAAAGATTCTATTGCCCATTTTTTATTGGATCATTTATCTTCCTTTCATTAAGTTGTATAAGTTCCCTGTAGATGTTGGAGATTAAACTTTTATCAGTGATAACATTTGCAAAAATGTTCTCCCATACAGTGGGCTTTCTTGTTTTGTTGATGGTTTCTTTTGCTGTGCAAAAGCTTTTTATTTTGATGTAATCACATTTGTTTATTTTCTCTTTAGTTTCCATTACTTTAGGAGTGGTGTCAGTGAAGAATAACCTTTATTTTCAATATAAAAAAAGTTACAATTGAACTGTGCAAGATAAATAGAATCATAAAAATAAATTGTGATAGGAGGGCAGATGGAGATGAAAGATGAGTTAAATGGCCATTTAGTGGTCCAGATGAGCTAAAGAGGTAGAAATGGGGATGAAAAGGAGATGATAGGTGAAGATTATCTAAGGGTAGATTTTATATTTGGTTGTGTAATGGATATGAGGTTGGACAAGTGGTGACGGAGATTATGAAACATGGTTCCAATTCCCACATTTGAATAGATCTTGAAGGATGGACAATAGTTTCATGGCATTTCAGAAAAAGGACACATCATGAATAAAACAGAAGCCATGAATATAAGGCAGTCAAGAACATTGGCATAGCATATTGCTCAATATTCCACTTTGTACATACCTTAAAAACAAAGACTATGCCCCATTCATTTTTATGGTCTCTGGTACAAGTGATTCCCAAACAGTAGACCTTTGACTGCACACATTGGAATCACTTGGGGAGCTTTATACGTTAGAGATTTCTCATTCCAACCCCAGATATTTAGATTCAATAGTGCTAGTATGAATTTTATTTTTTTTAAATCTCCCCATCTGAATCAAATACAAATGCAAATTTTAGAACCATGTCTTAGTACATTTTAGGATAATGCAATGCACATAACAAGTACTCAAGAAATACCTATTGAAGTAAATTAAATTATGTGTTCTTATCTTTGTGAGCTCCCCATCACCTCATCCAGTCCATTCATTAACTTTCATCATAGCCATTTTTTCAGTGCCATCTTCTCACTCCCTTGAAGTAATAATCTTCAACTCCTTTACTATCTTTTTGTTTTAACCTTCCAGAAATAATCAGGTGTTCCTAATTCTTCCACAGCAATTTTTCCCAGACCAGCTATTATTCTTTGCATTTATAATCTTTCCATCCTGATAGGCCTTATCATACAAATGCTTTACTGCTGGGGAAAGCCATACTATTATTTCAACGTTCCTAGACTTCTATATTATAAAAGTGTAATATGCAAATCAACAGAAAGGAGGAATGACCTGTCACTATGATGCACACTGAACACCATAGGGCAGGCACTCAATATAGGAGCTGCCCCTGGTGGTCAGTGCATTCCCACAGGGGGAGTGCTGCTCAGTCAGAAGCCGGGCTCACGGCTGGCGCGCGCAGTGGTGGTGGCGGGAGCCTCTCCTGCCTCCTCTGCAGGCGGGTGGTAAGGAGCCAGGGGTCCTGGACTGCGAGGGGGTGCAGGCCAGGTTAAGGAACCCCACCTCCAGTGCACAAGTTTCATGAACTGGACCTATGGTTATATATACAACTGTAGAAAAGAATCAATGCCAGTGCCACCTGAACATCCATAGCCAGGAATCTCCACTGAGTGGCCAGATTATTATGATCTCTGAACACATAATAATCTGGCCACTTAGTGTAGACTGACCACAAAGTTGGGATTTTAAAATAAGGATTTTCCATGTTTAAGAATTGCATTGTGGGTAGTTAGAAAGAAGCAGAGGCTGGGGGGCACTATCTCCTGGTCCTTTGACATATCAAGATTTACACACATTCCCTTATACATAAGTACACTGAGTGGCCAGATTATTATGAGTTCAGAGATCATAATAACCTGGCCATTCAGTGTATATCCGTTGCTAGAAATGTGAAGTTTCCTTGTGAGTGGTTCTCAAGCCAGGGTGTTTAACAGAATTCCACAAAAAGACATTCAATTATAATTATACATTTGTCTGCACATCTCCAGAAATTTGGACTCTTTAGATCAAGGATGAACCTCTAATATATTCTATTTTAATAGTTTCCCCTGACAATGTTTAGGACTCAAAGTTTAAGAACCGCTATGCAATGTAATGTGCAAAAGCTACCTGAGATTACAATTTGGCTGAGATCCCACACAAGGCAACCAAGAAGTTACTCACTTTGGAGGGGAGGGAGAAGCTGGGGAATGAGGGAGGGGATTTCCAGGATACACAAAAAGGAAAAAGCCAGCAGCTCTGGCAACAATGAGTAATATATTCAAAAGGTCTAATGGCAGTGAAAGGATATGCTGACAGACAGGTTTTTTAAAAGTCACAACTAGACTAGTTTACAGATAAAGGGACCATTCAGACCAATTTTTAGACAGAGCCTGGTATATATTTTAAATCATCTTCAGGTATTGCTGGATACATATTGGCTGATTTATTTGTAAAACCAAAAAAGAACTATTGAGTTTAAATAGGTCAAATAAAGCTCAAAGTATTGCAATAATCATATAACACTATGAAGTAAGGTAGGGAGCCTAATTCTTTGAAAGAATACATTAATATTTTAGTAAATTTCAAGGCATATTTTATTAGGATTTTAACTAAGAATAATTTTCCCTGGGGAATCAACATCCCTACAGTGGGAATAATACTATTTCGTATCAATTTCTTTTCAATTAGTTTCTCGGGCTGGAAGGCTGGATGGATGTCACAATGTCCTGCTCTCCTCCGAGAGGGAAACATTTAGTAAAGAACTGTAATATTAAGCTGATGTAAATGCCCACATGTGGTGATTCAGCTAACTACTTTGGTTGGTTGGTTCTTATTTCAGATCTTTTAAATGCCATATTCAATTGAGGCAATGGCTATATTCAGCATCACTTACTAAAAATGTCAGAATCACTTTACAAATATCGTCTTGGTTTTGGACTAGGAGGAAAGAAAACGCGTGGTCACAAAAACCTCCATT